GTCTTCCCCAACAGTTTGAGTCCGTGTGATATTTATATAGAAATCACGTAATTTGAGTTTAATACCTATATATACCACTACTAATGTAAGTTCAATATTTCAATATATTCGCATCACCCTTAAATTCTTAGAAAAACTAATTAAAAGAGCTTGAAAACTTTGAATTTTAACGAAAATGATAAAATAAATGGTAAAATAAATAATATAAAAATTGACTTTTTAGTGTAAAAATATAATTTTTCGTGAATCTTTCTCTTGTACTTCTTGTTAAAAAACCGTTACCAGCTTCTCCTAGGAAGTTACCAGTCTCGCAGCCACTGGTGAGCTATGGCGACGGCTAAACGGCGGTGATGGGTAGGGTGGCGCCGACGACGTGGCGGAATGAATCGCCCCAAGACCGTAGCTTTCATCTGGCTCCTCTATGCCTTGTTTTTCTACTCACTCTTCCGAGTGGCCCTCAGGAACTCAGACTCCTCACGCAATTACTCCTCCGCCTCCGGTAAATTCCAATTCCTTTTCCCTTCACTCTCCCGCTATCTCCTGTTTGGTTCCCGAGAAAATTACATAAATCACAATCTCCCGCCGCAGATGCTGTGATTTCGAATAAGGACCGGAGGTCTGCATTATACGATCAGATGGGTCGGGATTTGAAAGACCACGGACCGGTTTTTCTCAACCGCGGCGGCCGGACCTCTCAGTCTCTGTCACTTTCTGATATTTTTACGATAAGGGATGGATCTGTAGCACCTGTACTTAAGGTAATCCTAATTCGTTGATTAAAGAGTTAAACTTTGGAGATTTGGCTAATTGGATATTTTTTCATGTGTGTGTTCTATGTAGGCAGCAAATCCTCCTGTTCGTGCTAATGTGTTGTATCTGAGCACGCAGTACTCGCTTCCGATTTCGTAAGTATTTAGCTTTGTTCTTTCATTGTGTTTTTCGAATTCGAATGGTCAATGATGGTATGGGAAAGAAACAATTTTTAGGGTTGATATTAGCAATGTATGAGCAATGTATGTATGGTTTTGGTTATTAATTATATGTGTGATTCGGGATGGAGCGTCGAATTGACATCGTGCACAATAAAGTTTAGAAATTTTGTTCGGGGAAGCGTTTTGCTGCAAGATTATAAGATTAGGTACAATTTTCATAGCCTTAGCTTAATGCTCTTTCGTTTATGTCGTATATCCATGCTTGGCTTGTTGCAGGAAGGCGCTCAAACCTATTCTCGATCCTTACTTCGATAAGGGTAAGCTACTGTTTGCCAATTTATAATGTCTTTGACAGATTATATGATTATAGCTTACGAATAACGGAGTAATTTATCTATTTTTTAACTCGCACATTTACTATTTGTTGGTATGCTTATGTGTCTATCTTGGCTAGCAATCTGGTTTCAGAACTCGAGCTTGTATCATTTTAGTATGTTTCATGCCTCGCATCATATTTCACCCGTTCCTGCTACTCAAGACGAGGTAGACTGCACTTCTGGAGCCATTCATGTGTTTCTTAACATCTTGTAATTTGCACTTAAATGTCAGTTTAGGTTTTGAACCCTGTTTTTTATTTTCCCTCAGATTGAAACCGAAGTAGCTGCCGTTAGGACTATTGCACAGGGTCTCTGCCCTTTAAAAATTGTCTTGGACAGAGTGGTCTTGACCTCAACAGGTGTGCTTCTTGGGTGCTGGCAGGTTATTTTCCTTAACCTATATGCTCACCTTTTTCTTTCTTCCTGTTCGTAATGTATGTCACATAAGAATATTTGATCCTTGTAAATATAGATGTTTAGAAAGGTCGCAATTTCATAACCATCAAGGGAATGATATAACCGAGAATCTATTTTCTGGAATCAATCTTTTGTTTTCATTGTAGGTAACCTCTGGATCAGATCCTATAACCATTCGAGCAAAATTGAGGACCGCACTTCCACATGCACCAGAAAAGCAACTTGTAAGAACCATATATCTATCTTTATTCATTTTACACAAGTACAGTAGCCCAATACTATGCAAACTAAGAGTTGTTAAGTTTACCAATAGACTTACTCTTAATGAGTTGAGATCATGGAAGAACCGAGGTTTTAATGGTTAGTATATGTTTGAAAGTGAACGATTGTAACACTTGCTTGAGGTGACTCTCTCCTGCTATGAAACTTCTTCCTTTCTGATTTATCTTATTGGCTGTCTGTGGGGTGCATGTGTTCCGGCAAAAGTTATTTCATTCTTTTTCAAGTTCTAGAATTTAGAATAGAGCTTTCCTGCATGTGGCAATGAATACCTTCTTATTACCAAATATCTGCTATGAAAGGATAAGTAGTCTGAAGGTGCATTATTCCAATTTTGTTAAACTATAAGAAATACATGATAAATCCTGATGCGGAACTTATTGTGGCATCGCAGATCCCCTCATTAGTGCGTTATGAATTATTATTGGTAGACTGACAGTAAAATTCCCCCTGTATCTTATGCTTGTAGCACTTGCTAATCTGCAGCCGTTGTCTCCTGCAGTATGATGCTGCGATTCTTCATACTTCATTTACAAGGCTTCTTGGTCACCCAAAAGCATCATCCAAGGTAGTACATCTAATGACTGTTAGTTGCCTATCTCATTGCTTGGCATTGTAGGCACCTGTTTTAATATTGCGGTTCCAATTTATCTGGCGATCTGCTGAAAATTTTATTCCCAAACGTGCTTCTAATCTTTGCAGAAAATAGGAGTTTTCTAATTGCTTTTCAATTTTCGTAGTTTGTGAAATTTGACAACTCTTTATAAGATTGATCCAGAACCATTCATCGACTAGAGACAATTCATCGACTAGAGTTGAAGAAACATGTCTCATATCATTCTAATATTGATTGCCACTGCATCTATGTACATGTAGGTTCTGTTATTTACGTAGTTTTTGTCGTGTTCAGGTGCTATCTAATACTTCAGATCAAATCCACTTCTTCCAAGAGCTTGTTCATCGTCTAAACAACGAACTCCAAGGATTTGAGGTGAGTTGTTATGCCGTATATATCACTCTACGTACATAATTTATGGCATGTGTATCCATAATATCTTAGTCTTTCAAGATCCTCTAAAATCAATTGAATTCAGGCAGTGGTATCTGAACTCTGGTATGTGGAGGAATTTGACGTTTTGGCTCTAGCATTGAACGGAAGAATGAAGGCGCGCAGGTTCCAACTTGGCTGCTCAAGAAGTTGACATCACGATTCGCCAGTTCCACTAGTATAAACCCAGAATTCAAGTAAATAACGCTAGTTATGGATGTGTCCTTAAATCGCCTTGTTTTACAACGAAGCAGGTTCTCCGTGTTGGCGTGTAAATTCGCATCTTGTTCTTCTAAACTGAAAATCTAAAGAAAATGATTGATGTTGTGGACTTGATGAACGTTTCTCGAACTTGAAATTACCTTATGATAAAGGAACGCGTAACGACATATATGATCGGCATGTAACGTACTAAAATGGTGCATGCTTGAGCGCTGAAAGCAGAACATTAGCCAACTTAAACAGACGCATTGCGGCATAAGCGCACCAACAGATGGTAGGCTGGATGAGTGGTTTGAGCATTTAGCGACCAGCTTGACTGTCGGAGAGTCGCCATTACCGCCCAAGTGGCCGCTCTCCATAAATCACGTTGGAAAAGCTTCTCCCACAATAATGAGAGCCCAAGTCCACCTGAAACCACTATTCGTCAATCTCGATCTACAACGATATATATTAAACTACGGAAGATGGGGAGTTCGGTTAAAGTCACATAATGGATAACCTAATTTGGTAGCGATCTCCATTCACCAAATTCGAATCTAAGACCTCTCGCTTACAAGTTTAGAGAAATACCACAAGACTATAGTACTGGGTGACAAAGAGAACCAATAAATAAATATGAAGGAAGTGTAGAACAAGAAATTGAAAATTGAGGTGTAAAATTCACTGCATCCATCCACTGCATCAAGTTGGGGTGACAACATGATCACTGTCATTCATTGTCCTGTAGATGGATGTTCTCATGGATGGCACACGCCTAAGCTTTCCTTCTTCTTTTTTTTTCTTACAAGGGAGGAACAACTGGTGTGGCAAGCCACAGTTATCCATCATTTTCGGGGGTCGAAAAGATTTACAAAGGCATTTTAGCCTCCTAAGCTTTCCTAAAACAAATTAAAAAATTGCAGTCACTTTCAGTAACGCTTGGAAAATACGTATGCTTCCTTGTGGATGCCACAACCCTCTCTTGCCAAACAAGTCCTTGTTGTCTTTTTTTCTTTTTAATTTTAGACCGTGCACATTTTCTTTGCTAAAGTCAAACGTCAATTTGTCACCATTGATCAAAGTATGTGTGTGCGTACGAATGACAATGGCACAAAAAATGATCATTGCTCAGAAACCACACACATGCAAGTAGATGATTGCTTGTAGCATAACTGAATTACAAAAATTAACTCAAATCCACTGGCGGATAAATTTTCTACATGTGAAAAGACTGAGATGCAATGTCTATCTCGAGCTTGTTGCACAATGTTATATGCTTAATTTTTTTTTATCGTTTCGGAGGAAGGGAGACTATCCTATCTCTGGGTCAGGGTATACCATAAGTTTATTTGAAGACTTATAAATAAGGTCTTAACCTCCTTTTTGGTTTTTACGGATCGGTTACCAAAAAGGATTGTCGGCAACATGACTCAAACATAAACCTTGTCCAGCAAAGAGAATGATCTTTACTCATTCAACCAATCCTCGTTGTTTGCTTGAGATGCTATCATGTGTTGTCTTAAAAACTTACATATAATCAAACATTAACCAAGACAAATCACAATAAGGTACAGACAATTCAATACGTTGTAAATTGTAAATTTGCTTAATCGTGATCGCGGGCAGAGTACAATTCCTAATTAGCACGAAAGGGCGAAGATGGCACGAGGGAAGAAAATCGTAAAATATACAGGGACACAAGCCACAGCTCACGAGAAGGAAGTTCACGTGTCCGGGTTCACTACACAGCAAAGAGGCAAGCGCTCGCCACACGCCTTCCGCTGCCTCGTTTTCTCCCGCCACACTCTCTGTCTTCCTCCTCCCCTAAACGCCAAGCGTAACAGTTACCTCTTTCAATCCATTACATTTCATCTCCGGATATATAAAATCTCCAATTTTCCTCAGATTCCGTCAAAATTCCTCAACTTTTCTTGATCCAAGTCCCAATTTTTTGTTCCCGCCATTTCCATCTGCAGGTAGCTAGGGTTTGTTATCTGTAATTCTACATTTTGTGATCAAATTATGCAGTTTTTTGTTTGTATTTTTGTTCAGTATAGTTGATTTGTTTGTGATCTAGCGTCTCTGGAAGTATGTGATTTCTGAAAAGCATATATCTTTTGTAGTTTTGTTGGATTTGGGTTTGACTTTAATGGCTAATTCTGCATTTTAATAGTTTTTAGTATCTGCTAAGCTGGATTCATGATTTTGGACTGGAAACATGTAAATATAATTTCAATTTATTGAATTTTTAGTGGGCAATGAGGTAGAAGTAGTTGGGGAAAAAGAAAACTAGGGTTTCACTTTGAATGTTGATTGTGTATTTCGATTCTGTTAAATACAGCATGCTTTATATAAGGAAGTGCAAAAATTTACGCGTTGTTTGGATGATTTGTAGGCTATAGAGCCTTATTCAGTTCATCGAGATAATCATGGGTTCACCGGATCCTTTGCCGGCAGCTGAAGAGGGTAATGTGGCAACGGAGGCATCAGTGCGCCGGTAAGTTCTAGAGATATTAGGTTTGGCATGATTGTATAAGCATTCTTACGTGTGCTAGCAATTTTCTACTACCTTGATTGGATCTAGTGCTTGGAGTATCAATTAGAGGGTGGAAGTTCAGGTGTACTTAGGAACGGTAAAACTTGTCTTGCCTTAGAAACTTGATGCGAATTAGTGTAGCATTTAGAAAACGATTTGTAAAATGAAAATGCAGAAATGCGATTTCTGAAATGTTGTTTGAAGTTACAGGGTCTATGTATGTTGTAGCATCAATATAACCGTTGTACCTGGTGAAATCTACGTAACTTTCTGGAATGTTGGATGTGTTGCTCACTAGTTACCGATCATGAATTAGCTTTAATAGAAATAGCTGCAACTAGTGATGGATAAATTTTGGATTAAATGTGCTCAACGTTTTGGTATTTATGTGAAAGAAAGAATGCTATGGTTGGTAGACTCGCATCATCGAGGTTAATAGTGGTGTCTACTTATTGCCTTTCTAACTGACCAAACGATTCAAATAAGGTGGAATATTGTCAGCAAGCACTTAACTCCTGTTCATAAATCAATCTGATGCACTTCGGCTATATCTCTTTCTGATGTGGTAATATTGTGTTTTTTAGTTAAACAAAAATATAATGAGCACTAGTCTTTTATTGACTTTGAACTTCACAACAGTTTACGGTTGATATGTTTATGCTTTATAAAATGTTTAAGAGGGTCTTCTAACAATATATCCTCTGGCCATAATCAATTTGTGTGAGGTTCTTAGAGTTGTGGATATAGCATGACTATTTATCGGGATGAAAAAGCACTCAGATTTCTTGGTTAGATGTTTAGGAGGCTGTTTGATGTGCAGGGCTTGTCCTGGAATAAAGAAACAGGGGAAAATTCCTAAGAGAATCCGCAAGGCTGAGAGGGAGAGACGGAAGCGTGAGCAGTTTAACGAGCTTTTTCTTGGGCTGGCTGATGCCCTTGGTAACTTCTCTTTTATTTATGCGAACTTCACTATAATTTTGTTTTTGTCTGCAGTTCATCTTACATTGATAATTAGCTTCAGTTTTTGGTGTAATTTTTTTTTTTATGATGGTGGGTCGTTCTTAATTTGCGATAACTCTTGTGCAGAACTGAATGAGCAGAACAGTGGAAAGGCCTCCATAATAAGTGAAGCTACTCGACTGTTAAAGGACTTGTGTGGTCAGATTGAATGCTTACAGAAGGAAAATGCATCCCTGTTGTCTGAATCGAACTATGTAAGGCACCCGACATCTTTCTTCACCCCCTAAACATTTTGCTCGTTTAATGTTTATACAACATTTAAACTTTCTATGTGTACTTGTTTATGTGGATATCTTAGCGAAGTTCCTACTTGTTAGAACTGTGAAACACTTCTACATCTAGTAGTGCATTCCTTTAATCCATCATATTTTCATGAAAGCTCTTTAAAAATTGAACAGATGACTCTCGAGAAGAATGAGCTGAGAGACGATAACTCTGCCTTAGAAACTCAGATTGAGAAATTGCAAAGTGAGATACAAGAGAGGGTGGCACAGTCTAAACCGAACCTGAATGCACCACCTCGAGGAGAATTGAGACCAGAAGTTCCCTCCCATTTTACCGGAAATTGCATCAGTTTGCCCACTCAAGAACCCAGCTTGCAGCAAGCACCTGCTGTCTTTGTTATGCCCTTCTGCCCTGATCTCCAAGCTTATCCACTGCCGGATGCCACCCACCCCACATCTAACACCACCTCACATGTGAGCAAACCGCATGCTAGGTCCGACCTCGGTGGATTCTTGGCCGTTCCAACTTCTCGGCGAGAAAACAACCGCAGGCAAAGGATTTCGACAAAGTGGTAAAAGCGACCCTAGTAATATGTAAACTTCGTAATCGAAATGGTTTATGTGCCCTTTACCTCTTGCTGGGTATAATTGACAATGCCCCATATTTTGTAGGCTGTTAGATTTCTATCGTTGTATTTTTTATTGTTAGATTTTTTATCGCACGTTCAACGTTTCATTTATCTGATGCATAACATAGGTCGGAGCATAGTAGAATTTTTAATAAATCGGAGGTTTTTTTGGACAATCCACTTGACAATCTATTAGACAACCCTTGACGCCCACATAAGTCCGTACACAAGCATGTGCATATTTTTTTTAACAAATACCCATATTCAGGGACAAGGGGCCGAATGATCTCTCGATTTACTATCTACATTAAGGAAAAAAGAAAACTAAAGAAAAATCTAAAAAAACCTTCTTTTTTAACGAAAAGCTATTTTTAAAGGTATAGTGAATAATGTCAATTAAAGGTAAAAATGTGGTTTTTCGTTAAAAGTGAATAGTATCGGGAGTGTTTTGTTAAAACTCCCTAAGGAAAATTGGTGAACTTAGCCTCACAATGGGCTAGCAATAATGTGGTTTAAATTCTCCTTTGGCATTAATTGAACATAAAATCTCTCACTTACAAGTGAAATGAAATACTACCGTACCGTAATACTAAGACTATCTCTAACCGAAGGGTTCAGAGGGCCAAAGGGCAAAAAATAGCCCAAAAACCGTCTCCCACTGAGGACTAGGCCAAAGAGCTTGTGGATCTCACTGGACAAAAAAAGGCCAAAGGGCCAACTGACTGGCCCAAAGGAGCCAGCTAGCTAGCCCCGTCCCAGGCCATAAATTTGAAACCAACGGCTAGTTGACATCAATTACTGTTATTTAAAAAAAAAATTAGGCCAAAATTTTTTAAAATATTTAATTATAGGCCCAAAAAGTATGTTTGGTTGAATGTTTGGGTGGTGTTCTTTTTATAGGCTTTAGTGCTTGCTCAAATCATTCCCACAGCTCATGTGAGACTCCCACCCACTTCCATTTTTTTTTATACTTCCTCTCCCACAGCTAATGTGGGACTTTCCCATCCACTTCCTCTTTTCTTTTTTTTTTCTACTTCCTCTCCCATAGCCAATGTGGGACTCTATCACCCACTTCCCTTTTTTATTTATTTATTTTATTTATTTTTTACTTTTTTATACTCTAAATATAACCTCTCATATTTGACTTGAAATGTATAAGTAGTATTATTTAAGTTGTATTTTTTAAATTTTAGTTGTAGTTTTTATATATAAGTTGTAGTTTTTAAATTTAAGTTGTTGTAGATTTTAAATTTAAATAATAAATTATGTTTGGCCATTTGGCTCTCGGTTGGAGACCGTTTTTTGTGATATGGCTAAAACGAGTCCTATGACCTTTTGGCTCTCGATTTGAGATGGTAAGAAATATGATCATGTACTATTTATTAAAATATTAATTTTTTTGAGAACCAGAAAGTTAAAACGAATTATCTGGCCTTTGTTCGGTTGGAGATGGTTTAAGTGGCCACAAGCATGCTCTCTTTGATTCAATCATTGTCCTTTGATTAAAGAGGACCACAGTAACTCCCATGAGACCCGATAGTTCCTCTCAAAGCCTTAGCTTTTGCCACGTCACGTATATTTGGTAGTGCTGTAAGTTGTTAACCACACTTGTCCGCTCCTCACTTTCCCTCCTCCAACCGACCCTTCACACACAAACTGACAAAAAACCCTAGCTTATTCCAGAAGCACTTTTTCCAGAAGCTCATAGTTTCAGTTCAGAGGGTGATAGAGTTGCTTTGGGAAATCGGGAGATGGGATCTGGCGCCGGCAGCTTCCTCAAAGTGCTTCTCAAGAACTTCGACGTTCTTGCTGGGTACACCCACATTCTCACTCTCTCACTTACTTTACCAAATTTCCAAAAAGTTTTGATATTTTTCTTTTCCTTCTCCAATTCGATTTATGGGTATTTTTTTTTTTGGTTCTTGCAGGCCTGTGTTTAGCCTTGTTTATCCACTGTAAGTTGGGTTCAAAGGCAACTTTTTAAGTTTTATTTTCCAGTTTTATCTATTTTTTGCCTTGTTTTTGTGCTTAATTTGAAGTTTTTTTGTACTGGGAAGTTGAAATTTGGGTTGTTTTCGATAGATACGCATCGATTCGAGCGATAGAGACGCAGTCTACGACCGACGATCGCCAATGGCTGACATATTGGATTCTGTATTCCATGATTACTCTGATTGAACTCACCTTTGCCAAAGTCATTGAGTGGTAAATTATTTTCTACTTTCCAAATTTAGTTCCTTTTTTACTTGTTTGTAATCCGGGTCTGCGTTGTATGCGATCATTCGTTAAGTTTTCGGGTGAAGATTTCATCTTGCTGCATTTACATTCTTGAACTTGTATAGAAAAGCGGTTCCGATTGTGTGATGAACTTTTACCAGTTTTTTACTTGTGCTTCAAGGAAGATTTATGAAAACTTATGTTTGAGTTTGCTAGGTTTGCGTTGCCTAGTCCGCCTTGTCGGGGCTGTAAATAGTTATCTTGCATTAGATTCAATGTAACATCCCACGTCGTCCAGGGAGTGATACTTAAATGTATATTCTCATCCCTACCTAGCACGAGGCATTTTGGAAGTTCACTGGCTTCGGGTTCCGTAGGAACTCCAAAGTTAAGCGAGTAGCGCACAAGAACACCTCCATGATGGGTGACCTACTGGGAAGTTCTCGTTTGAGTTTTCAGAAACAAAACCGTGAGGGAGTAGTTAGGGCTAAAGCGGATAATATCGTGCTACGGTGGTGGAGCGGGCCTGGGATGTGGTGGACCTCGGGTTGGGATGTGACATTCAATTAACTCTCAAGCTGTTGTAGTTCACGAATGATGTGCCGTTGCTGCATTTGATATAATTTGGTGTGTGTAATGTTCTGATCTTTTCTGGCAGGATTCCAATCTGGTCGTACGCTAAGCTGATTGCGACTTGTTGGTTGGTACTCCCGTACACGAATGGTGCTGCATACGTTTATGAACATTATATCCGACCTTTCTTTCTCAACCCGCATAAAATTAACATTTGGTATGTTCCGAGGAAGAAGGATGACCCAGATGACATTTTAGTTGCTGCGGAGAAATACATTGCAGAGAACGGGACTGAAGCTTTCGAGAAGATCATCCACAGGGTATGCTTATTAACCATAACACTTGAATAATTCGTAGTAATATACTTATAATGTTACATATCCCACTGAATAACAACCAGCATATTTTGGCTTGACGTGATCTTTCCGTTTCTGTAGGCTGATAACAACCAGAGGAGCGGGGGATCCGTCTATCATAGGGGATCTGTCTTTGATGAGGACCTTAAGTACTATCGAGAATATTAGTTGTGGTACGTTTCATTGCATCTTGTCCTGCGGTGTTGTAGAGAATACAATGTTGCTGTTACCTTTTCCGTAGCTGATAGCGTATCTATATCTTTCGGTTTTGTAAGGGATACTGAATGTTCCTAGTTTATTAACATGTAGTTATCATGGTTCGACGATGTCTTTTCTCGTTCTTTGCTTCTTAAATTCAGCTAGTCCATTTGCCTGATTCTTAGGGTGCTCTAGAGTATAGAATATTTCGTGATTTTCAACCATTAGATCTTGATTTTTGTGTTTTTGACTAGAGATCTAAGTGTTAAAAATCTTGTAAGTATCCGATACTCTGAAGCAGCATAGAAAATCCCTGACATAAGCCAGGATTAAGCGGGATTAACCGTGAAACTCGAACATCTGGCGTGGTTTGAAACTTAAGCAGTTCAATACGATGCACAAACTAATAGTTGCTTATCAAACATCAAAAGTCGTCAAAAAGTACTTTCAAGAGAAGTTAGTTGATTTGACAAAAGCTAGAAGGCCTAGCACAATTCAGCACACATACGGGAGAAGGCATAAGTTGTTCAATTCCCGGACAGAGACCGCTAATTCATCGTCCCGTTTAGACGCTAGTTTGTAGCACAGGCAATGGCCTACAATGTTGGCCTCAAAACTCAATGACCGGTATCTGTTTCGGCTTCAGCTTCTGCTTCGGTTTCATCTTCGGCTTCGCCGACATTTAACGTTTGGTAGAGGTACTCCTGGGCTTCAGCAAGTGGTGATTCTTTCGCATCAGCTGCATACAATATCTTCTTTACCGCCACCGACATCTGCATGAAATTGACGATAAGTTGGTTAACCACATCAGTTAACAACATCCAACATTCATACACGGAAGCGTAAACCTACTAAATCACTCAATTTCAAGAGGAAGGGGCAGAGGCAGAAGCACAGGAGGAGGAGGACGGACGAACGGACGGAATTTGTTCTAGTCAATACTAGCAAGAAATGCCAGCCTAAGAGAAAAGGAAAAAGGCATAACCTAGCTCCCTAAGAAAAGAAAACCCAAGTCTAGCGTACTCATAGTTTCAAGATCCATTAACAATTCCTGTAATTTGCTTCAGAAATTATGAAATGTTGTAACGTCCAGCAAATACAAACTTCTGTCGTCAGCTTTAGATGCACCATGAGATTTGAAAAGGAGGCATGATAACGGGAAAGAAATATACATCGTACGAATACCATGCAAGTACGTAATTGTATACATTGATTACAAAACCATAAGTCATATATGAAAAACATGGCAGAAATTCATACCGGGATATCCTCCAACTCCGATGTCTGACAAAGAATTTCAATATCCCTTAATTTTGCAAAGTAAAAGTCCCTTTCTTTTTCCAAAAGGTCCACAGAGAGCTTGAGATCTGTAATCTGTCAAACAGAAGTATAGAATGAAAACTACTAAGAATCAGACAAAATAACGAAGCAAGATGAATAATTCCACAGGCAAAGCCAGATACTAGGAGAGGAATGATTTTCCTCGGACAAGGCAAGATACTGATACCTCCTTAGACAAAGCCTGAACTTCTGAAGAATTAGCACCGCCTGCAGCTGCATAAGGTCTCCCTTGCTTTGGTCCTAAAGAAATAAGCATCAAGCAATGAGAAGCACTCTTAAGTCTTAAAAATTAATCAAAAGGAGTAGAAATAAAATTTTCGGTGGGGGGGAGGGGATCTGACCTGAGGTCTTATTAAGACCAACTGTATCTCCAGAGCCAGGGTTATGTAAATTGCTTGATTGCAGAGA